AAATTAAGTCACCCACCTGCTTAAAACAACGGCTTTATGGTCTACAAAACATCTTAGTCTGGTATCCACAAGCCTCTGATGATGTTACATGATAGTACCCTTTACTGAACATTTACTACAAAGCCTAACACTGCACCAAGTGGATTATATATATCGTTTCCTTTAATCTTCATAACATTTGATACAGCAGGTTCAATGGCTAATGCTACAGATGGGAAACGGAAGCTTACAGTGATTAAGCAGTGTGTACAAGATTGGATAGCTAATAAGTAGAGCTAAGCACTGACTCCAGGCAGTCTCAATCCAAAGCTACACCGTCTCTGCTCCAGTATTAGCTCACTATTCCACACACGAGCTCCTCTGGCCGAAGCAAACAGGTCTAGTGTCTCCCAGTGCACACCCCAAGCTGCCCTGATCTACACCTCAAACCCTGCCTCGAGAGTACATTACCTCTTCCTTCTTGCCCTCTTAAATCCTTCCCATCCTGGGCCCCGGCCATATTCCCTATCCTATGAAAACTTCTCAGGCCCCTTAGGCCACATCGGTCCCTCTTCCTTCTCTCAACTGAGTACTCACTGTAATGCTCGGTTGGCCATAACACACACTCAAGGTTACTTTGAATGTTATTTGACTTTTAAAAATATTTGCTTCTAACTAAATAGCAAGTACCCCACAAACAAGTATTAATTATTTATTTACCACAAATCTAGACATTGAGACTTTCCTACCCTTATTTCTCTAGATAGACACCTATCACTACAGCCCTTATTGGGTTATACGCAATTAGACACCTAACATTTGCAGTTTCAATTTCCAAGTTGAAAGTCCATTTGCTGACTCTTCATATCAGTTGTGTGTGGTAAAATGTAGTCAGCTAGGCTGAGAGCCTGGCTAACCAATCTCAGCATGGCCTGTTGATTGATATCCATGTTGCCTGCTGTAATCGTCAAACGAATAAAACATGGTTGGTTTGATAAGGTCCAAAATAATACATTTTGAGCAGAAAATTAGTTTTGCAACTTAGGGTGAAATACTGAACCTCATGGTGGCTGAGATTTATGATGTGCCTTGTTTTTCGTACAAAGATCTGATATGTCACATGCTCTGTATAAAACCAGGAAAAATCCATTTGTGGAATCTTTCTACAAGTGGTCCAGCAATGCAAGGGTGGCTCGAGTGAGAAGCTCTAGTTAGAAAGGTTAACTGCGTTCTATGTACTGTGTTAGCTAGCGGAGAGGTGCTGGGTGCGGTAACAATCCGATTTCCTCCTGACCCAGGAGCCTATACCAACAATGCCACGTGAGGGGGTCCACGTAGGCCTTAGGTTATCTTCTGAGGTGTCAAGGGTCTATTGCAAGGGCCAGGAAGGTAATTTCAATGAGCAAAAGGAGCAGGATTCAAGGAAAATACCCGTCAGCACACTGATAAATGCAAATTGACAACTAGCTTCAAGGTTGCGATTTTAAGAGGAAGTAGGAGTTAAAACCCACTGGAGTTTACACACCCCAACCAGGGGGCTATTTAGTGTCAATTATTCCCTCCAGGGCTTGTAGATGTCATGTATTCTCACTTTTTAAAAGCTGGAAGTCTAGATTTTTATGTGACTATTTCCAATTTAAAAATGTTAGCAGCTAGTTCATGTAAACCAAATAATGCACAAACCAAACACATGTGCAAGCTTGGGTTTGGCCCATGGCCCATCAGTTTGCTCTTCTCGGACTGTTGTTTAAATATCTTCCCCCTTTGGACTGTGAGCTCCAGGAACACAGAGGACAGCAGTTGGATAAAGAACACATGTTCACACTTGAAAGATGAGGGCTTAAAAGTGTCAGAGAATTAGTGGTGTGAAATTCATTCCTCAGTATGTTTTATATACCCTAATACAGGACGAGCACTGCTGTAGGATCAGGGTTGGAGCATACAATAATGGGTACACTGCATTCCTGCTGTTCTCTCGAAGCTTATATTCTAATGAGTAAGAGAGTCAATAAAGCAAAATCACTTCAGATAGTGGTAAGGATTGTGAAAAAAATCAGTGCTTGCTACGGAACAGAACATGATGGAGGTGTCTAGAGAGGCTCATGTTAGATAGGGTGTGTAAACCTCCTCTGGAGAGGACTTTAGAGTGGGGAACCAGAATGATGAAGCCTATCACATAAGGGCTGGGAGGACAGCAAGTACCAAGGCTCAGGAAGAAGTGTGCACATTTCAGGAAGAGGTTGATGGAAGAGGCTGGCAAGGGTCGGCTCACACAGAGCCAGTCAGGGGTTTGTATTTCATGCAGTGAAATGGGAAACCAATGGAAGCTTTATGTATTAGAGCAATAAGTGATAAATGTTTTAAATAGATCACTAGCTACTGTTTGAAGAATTGTGGCAAAAGAGTACAGACAGAAATGCCACTACACATACTACTGAGGTGATAGCTGATGCAGGGGGGAGGAGTCTGATGACAAATAAAAGTAGACAGGGCAGGAATTTCTTCTGTACTCAGAACTGGGTTAGAATTATACTGAGCAGAGGTGGTAAAAGCAGAAGGGTCAAGAAGACACCTGGAATCAAAATGCCCAGTGTTTTCATGCTTTCATTATGAAAATCTTGTACTGTTCAGAAAAAGAGATCTAACCTCAGTGAAGGAAGTTGCATTCTGAAAACAGCTGTATTTTGAACTGTGTCCAAAGGAAACAAAGAATTCAAACTTTAAGTAGTTGGATGTTTCCTAATTGGAACTGTTTGGATCGTCCAGTAAAAACAGAATCCCTTTACAGTTGCCTAACACATATACTATATAAAATGCTGTAAGGGCCAGTTTGCAAAGACACTAAATGACTGGAATGCAGAGCAGACATGGAAGTCCGCTGCGTTCCTTTCATTCCAGAAATGGACAGAGTTCAAATGGTTACAAATGAAGTCAAGCTGTGACTTCCAGCCACACAAACAACTACTCTAGGGGACATAAGGGGTCATGGCCTACGAAGAATGTTGCTTCCCTTCCGATTTTCCCAGTGGAGTAAGTGCTGGTTTTCCTTATCAAACCCATGTACATGTGTCTCTCCAGCTAAACTAAGCTCCCAATATGCCTTAAAAATAAGGATTTTTAAAAACCCTCAATCTTTGTAATTTAATTAAAGCCCCTGGTGAGTTAAGAAATAGCTGTTAGGCAATGAATATTTATCAAATTACCTTGTTTTTGAAAACTTGCATGAAAGTAACTTGAAAATTTTAAATAAGACTTTTGATGTAGGTTGTGAGCATTAATAATGGGATTAATGCCTGATGGTAACAGTGACTCTATTTAGAACTATAAAGTAGAACTTAGAACTCCAGGAAAGAGGTACTCATTTTATGATCATTTTGTTTTAAAATGGAAAGGTGATTAAGAATTTCACTGGTTTTCCTGTAGGGTTAAGATATCAACTGTAAAGGACAAAAGTAACATTCCATAACATGTAAGGAATTGTATTAAGAATCGGGATCATTAGCACAAACACTAAACAACAGCAATTACCGTATTTCACCATGTATAAGATGCACCCTTTTTGGGGTCTAAAAACTGGATGCATTTTATACAGTGGTTGCAGATTTTTTTACTTGCATTTCCCACAAGTGATGAGTTGTATGGATTTTATGATGAATAAAAACTTGAGTTCAATAACTTTATGTAATACATTTTTTTCAAATTTCGGGCCCCCAAATTAAGGTGTGTCTTATGCATGGGGAAATACGGTATCCACGTTAAGCATTACAGCTGTAGCAGGCAACAAAGATTCGAACATTTAAACACAACTGGGGACATTCACACAAGGCTGTCAAAGCGCAAGGCTGTCAAAGCACAAGCACTAATGGGTAAAGAATCAGGAGCTCAGTAAAATACCTAGTGAATGAGGGAGCAATCCACTACCAGTTCTAGAATAACACATAACCTGGGTCCCCAGGTTTCTGAAATTCAGAGCAGTAAAAAGTTTTCAAACCTGAATCTGATCTACTTGAGATCTACAAGTATACAATACAGGGGACAGAAAGCTATGTTCAGTGACAGACACCATAGTTAAAATGAGCAAACTCAGAATATTGGAAAAATCCCTCAGGACAAACAGCCCAATTTCTTTAAATTACAAGGAAAGAAGATGGAGAATCTGTGACTAAAAATCAAAGCAATGTATATGGGCCTTATTTGAACAAACCAATTACAAAAACAAAACATTAAGAGATAGCAAGGGAAATCTGAATACTGATAGGATAGTAAAATATTACTTTTAACTTTTTAAACTATAATAAAAGTATTGCAGTTATGTTTAGAGCCCTTACCTTTCTTTTAGATTGAAATATTCAGGGATGAAATTATTTGTCTGAAATTTCCTTTCAGTAAGGGTGGGAGATAAGAGTGGTGAATTAGAGGTGGAAACACGGTTGACTGACCATGATATGATCAGTATTTTGAGTTGAGAAACAAGTACTCTACTATTCGAAATGTCCCATAAAAGTTTGAAAATTGGTTATTTTTCAAATATATATATATTTTTAAATTCAGGTAGAGCAGCCTGTTTGTAAACCTCTTGACAAGAACCTGGAAAACCAACAGCACGAGGTGGAAATTAGGACACGGAGACATCCTTGGCAAAGCCTCCTCTGCCGTACAAACCTCACCCCTCAAGCTGCTTAGCCCCTCACATCTTCATTCTGCCAAAGCACCCTCCCCCACAGCGCTTTCAGAACAAGGATAAGGTAGGTGAAAATGTAGACACCATTACGAATTCAAGATTCATCTGTTCAACAGGCCCTTGTTGACATCTGTCTTTACCCTCCTTCAATGCTTGTTATGTAAAGTTTACTATTTAGAGGCAGTTTAAGATCTCTAGAAATAGTTCAAGCTCAGCAGTATATAATCAAGTCCCATGTAGAACTCTTATTGAAGAGTTCTATTTACCCTCAAAGTTGCTCATTCGTGTTAAGACATGTTAGTTTTTATAGTTAGCAATGTAATGGATCTAAGTAGCATACCCGGCATTTTTACATCCAAACGAGTCGTCTCCTTCAGTGCAGTTGCTGTGCGAGGCTCTACTTGTTCCACCCCACTGCCTGCCACTGGCGAACCTGTGGAAACTTCGGTGTCCTCTTCAGAAGCCATTTATTATTTTTTTTAAACATCCTCAGTGGCAGTCAATCTTCACCTCTTTGTGGGTGTATTTGACTTTTTGAAACAGCAACAAATCATTTGGAGCCAATTCTAGTGGACAAGTAATCAAGGTGGGTGAAAAAAATTTTAAACTTTATGTAACTATAATTAAGTGGCCTTTTAATATATGGCCTTTTAAGATCTCTAAATTCACTTCTAAAACATTGGGAACATAACATACTTTGAAAGAGTCATTTAGATACACGACTTAAGGCTTGTTCAACAAAATTTCATTTTCTTTGTGGTCAGATTTTACCGGGGGCCTCACCTTATTACTGAATTCTCCTAGCCTAGATAAAAATCATCACTAAATATTTAAACTTTGAAGCTCAATAGTTGTGCCTGATTTGTGGTCAAGTTAAAAGTTTTGCTTTGTTCAAGAGGACAACTCACTTTAGAAAAAACTGACTTAAAATAAGCTTATGGTACCATGTATGTGCAAACCAGTTTCAACTTGATTTTAGTGCTAAATACAATATAACATTTAACATTACACTGCTGGGACACTCCTATTTGCTTTTCCCATACATACTGAAGATTTTACAATTAGCTCCAAATGCAGGTAAGACTTGTATTTCAATTACCTCAAATTAAAACTAATGGAGAAAAGAACAAGTTTGTCAGAAAATCAGTACAGCCATTTTACTATTAAAATTTTGCTCTTTTTAATAATTTATTTGAAGTAGTTTAGAAAAGCAAGATTTGTATTTTATTTCCTTGTAAAAATCTTTACACATGCAGACAAACCAGTGTTAAGAAAGTATTCACCATCATTTAAACAAATAACCACTTAAATAGAACAGTGTCTGCAATTTTATCTGTATAAAAATAAGATACATTTTTACAGAATTCACACTCCAGTTCTTATAGCGATAAACAATACACAACTATAGTAAGTACAATTGAACCTGACCATGGTTTTCAATTAGATACTGCTAGGGCATTTTAATGTGCATAAAAAATTTTAACATAGTTCTTTTCAACAGAAAATGTCCTCAGTGTTTCTAGAGACCTAGAGGGTTTTAAGAAATCAAATCCTAATCACTTGCTTTTAATGTTTTGATTATGAGTCCATACATCACACTGTAGGTAGGCAAAACCAGGAATTGATGCAGGCTCAAAAGAACAGTCAGCGCCTGTGCCTGCCATGTCCTGAGCGACTGCCACCATGGTGCTTGCCTTTATGGGACCTCTCAAAGGAGCGAGATCTTTCACGCCTGTCCCTATGATGTCCCCGTTCATGCCTGTGTTTCTTGGCAGCATCTGAGTGATCCCGAGACTTGCTCTGAGATCGAGAACGAGACTTTTTCCTTTTATGACCATGTCTATTTGAACTTTTTAAATCATCTCTGGTATGCTTGGCCTTAAGGTGAGGAGAACCATGATTATGATGTCTTCTTGGGCTTTCACTGTGACTGCGGGACCTGCTTCTTGATCTTGAGCTGTATGTTCCAGATCGACTCCGCCTATTATTATAACTTAGATAATAAAAATTTGAGGTTTAGATTCAGTTTCTACTGGGAAAAGGTCATTTTGGTGGTGCTCATAACAGGTTCAAAATGAAACTATCAGACCTGTATTGACAGGCCAGACAAGATTTTCATTAAATTTCTCCCCCCACCTCACTACCTCCCCTCCCTCCAGCCTATAATAGACGACTGTAGAACAAATGTACTATATGTCTATATTTCAAGGAGAACAGTAACAAGCAATTTTTACAGAATGTTCTAGATAGTTTTGGTTTTTATTGAGCACCTCCCATAAGCTCAAAAAAGCCATTGAAGAGCCACAGATAGCAATCTAATTAGAAAGCTAATTAGGAAGATTTTTTTACTATGGTCAACTTACTGGTTATTTATAAGTGGTTAATGAAATATTCATGTTTTCAAACTGTAATCAGAAAAGAAATAGTGTTTTCACGCTATACACAGGGTATTACATACCTTGATAGCACTTTAGCCAGCCCCTACACTTCTCAAAAAAACATGGGCATAAACAATATACAATGCCATTAAGATACATCACCACAAAACAAACAAAACCCCACATATACACAAAGCGTGTTTCCAAACTCATTTCTCATATCGACCTCACGTAAGCCTAAATCTATCCTAACTTTGATTAAGTCTGTGTTTAATCATTTTAAAACAGTAACTTTTAATTTTAAACACAGTTTTCCCTAAAAAAATATTTACTTACTGTCTTCTTGGAGTATGTGATCTAGAATGTGATCGTGTTCTTGACCTTGATCTACTTGCACTTCTGCTATTTCTACTTCTCTTGCTGTCTTTTCTTACACTTAAAAAAAAAAAATTTGTTTTAGTTACATACTTAGTGTGTTAGAAAGTAAACACAAAAGATTCCTCAGGTCCGTTTTCTAACTCAAGTATACTCACCCATTATAAGGGCTTTTGGAAGTCTGTTGTCTTTCCTCGGGTTCTTTCTTGACCGTTTTCACATTAACAGAGATAGGTGACTTCTCTTCAGCTTTTACTTCTCTTGGCGATGCTTAAAAAAAAAACACACACACACCATAAAGACATGCCAATCCTTGTACTTCACAAAGTACCAAAAAGTTGTTTCTAAATGGAACTCAAAAGGTGTCATGCTTTCAAGTATCAGTCTTTAGTTAGCTGATAAAACAGTTAACAGTTTTGCAACATCATTGTTTCTATGCAGCTGTTAAATGCTAAAGTTTTGTAATAATCACACACCTTCAGTGCCCAACTCATTTCAATTCTGAATAAATCTTACATGGTTTAGAGGCTGGAGAAAATCCACCAAGGGTTGAAAGGGCTGGGGTTCCATCAGGATTCAATCCCTTTGCTTTTAATTTGGCTTCTTGTAAGGCTACTTTTCTTTTCTCTACTTCTTTTTCCAGTAATTCGTAGTTTGGCTGTTGGGAGGAAAATGAAGTTAGTATCCCTCCTTCACAGTAGTGTGTCAGCACTGAGAAAGTGACAACACAAACATGAGTAAGCAGGATTACCTTTTTTCTGGTATAAAGCCTAAGTGTTTCTATGCAGATATCCTGGATCTCCTCTTCTGTTGTACCAAAAAGAAGAAACCAATGGGGACGAGTTGGCAATGGAATCTAAACCATAAAAACAGAATGGTTAAAATTTTCACTGGTTTTATTAGGAGGACTGACTTGTCCTACAGAACAAAACAAGCTGTGTATACCTACCTGAAGAGCTCTAGCTGCAAGGTAGATGCAAGCACATGCTATAGTCTCCGGTTGAAATCGAACAAATACATTGGTTCGAAGACTGTCATTCATATAGTTCCTGAAAAATATTTCAACCATAAGCTCTGTACATAAACAGTTCTAAAGCTTACATAAAATTGGAGACTCAATCTACTTTATTCTTTTTTCCTCTCGAATTTACATTCATATCCTCATATTCTAGCATATAACAATTCTTAACTCAAAAAATAAGAGATAAGAATGTAACACTAGAACAATTCTTCAGCTTTCCTATCTATGACCAAAGTCCTTTAAAATAATTCCTATTATTATTCCAAATAGAACTTAAAGTTTTTTTTTAAATGTATTTCTATGAAAAGTAATGCTCTGAAAGTCAATTCTAACATGACTAGTTTCAGAAATGATAAACCACTCCAACGATACTTCAAGCCATTTATTGACCATCTCTCCTTTATCCACAATAAAAAGCAGTGTCAACCAAGTTCTTTAAAAAACTCAAAGTACTGTGACAGGGGTAAAAAGGTAAGCACTCACCAAGTTATAGTAGAAAACTAAGCTACTTCAGAAAATCGAGGTAGCGAAGTGAAGAGCAATAAATATATATAACAGCCTTGTTTACATACCTTTTTTGTACTACAAATAAAAGCAATAAACTACTTTGGTGAATAAACTGCAGGACTTATTAGTAAACCCACCCCACAATATTCCTAAAGTATTGAAGAAATTTTACAAATTGTTAAAAAAGTTAACCTAAAAGACTGTTTCTTAAATCCTTACCCATAATAACTGCGAAAATCTGTTCTACAGAACATGTATTTTAAATGTCATGCATTTTATAAAAGTAACGAGACTTTTCTAATACTCATATTTACTGAGTCCAAAAGAAGCATGGCAGTCATTAAGTTCAGAACATAAAAATTATGTCACTTAAGTACTACACATCAAAAGTCTTGAGACAGTAGTTGTGGTGGGACCACAAACTCCTTGTTTTGCCTTTAAATAAGCCAGCACTCCACATCATACATCTGCATCTCTCAAGTGCAAGTTCTAAAGCACTTACTTACATTAACATCTCTTAAAAATGAAGTACTTCTTAATTCTAATGTTATTGCCTGCAATGGCGCAGCAGCTATAAATTCATCCAGAATGGGAATGGTGCCCATTTCAAGCTGCAAGTTGTAGTTTCCTTTGGTAGAATTCATGCTATACATAGAAATCTAGTCAAATTCCTAACAAAAAAATTATTTAATTCATAATGGTTGGACAACAAATCTATCAAAAATGAACTATTCATTGATAGTTACAGGTATACATTAAATACACAGGCATGTTGAATAGTTACTTCTATAAGCAAATATACAAATCCTTTTGACACCCCGACAGAACTAGAAGATGCTGCCAGATGGATATGGACCACTTCAGTGAATCTCGGATGAGAGCTTGCACTGGATTGGCTGGAGAGCAGGGCAGCCAATCAGGCCATCCTGAGGTCATGGGCTGAAGTGCAGAGGGCAGAGTTCTATGACTTACCATCATGGACTACCCTTTAATTAAAGAGTAGAAAAAAGAACAAAGTTAAATTGAGTTCTCCATTAAAAGTAATTAGTCAAGCCAAGAAAACAGGAAGCAGAAATAAGCTTTATTTACCTTTTGATTAAAAAACAAAAAAACAAAAAGCACCAAAAGAAACTCATCTCATTATTTTGGAAAGGGACAATGAACTTACTTTATTTCTGCTTCTGTTTTCCTGGCTAGGAAAAAAATGTAAAAAAAGCAACTTACCAGGCAGTTTGAACCAGGGTTTGATTACGTTCACATTCTAAGACTTGTAAATACATAACAATGATCTGAAGGACAAGGGAAAAAAACTCAATTTAGCATATTGCTGGTTCTTTCAGAGTTCAATGAAAATAAGTAACTGAAAATGTTAACTGCAAGTTTTAAATGGCATAGATAATACAAACCAATCTAAAATGTACCTGACTCAATGTGTGTTATTATGTTACTAGATTTCATGAAAATTATGCTTTAAAATGTTCCAAAATTGTAAAGGAAAAAAACTGAGTTAATTAAACCTAAAAAGCACCTAATTTTTCATGAACACCTTACTATGTGGTGGGCACTGTGTCCTGAAAACAAGTTAAAGCTGAGAGTATAGCATTTCATTTCCCAACGTGTAATTCTGCAAGTCCTCAAAATTCCAGCCTGTATGTTTTTTAAAGTTAAACAGTGAGTATGACACATATTATTAATATTCCAAGTGGGCATTATGGTAAGTAAACACTATATCTCTCTACAGTGAAGCTTATCACACTCAAATGTGATTAAAAACTACATATAAATAGCTTTACCTTGGTTCAGGTGAAATCTTTCTGGATTTATCATCATTCTCATTTTACAATTTTTAGAGATGTGTTATCTAAGAACAGAGATATCTGCCAAGGTCTTACAGCTAAAGGCAGAGACATGTTTCTATTGCAGGTATTGCAGGTAGTCCTGCCCTCAGAGCAACTGTTCTCATAACCATTTTGCTATTACTTATGATCACATGCAAACCAAGAGCTGGTGAAGAAGCCCATTAACACTGAATAACATTAACAGTGAGCAGCCACCATGCTTTGAATTTTACTGTGCAACAGGGTAGCATGCCAGGTACTTTTGCACACATGTATATTTTTCCTTGGAATTAGTTATTTCAGGCTCCATTTCTAGGTAGGGAAACTACATTAGCCACAGAGGCAAAAAGAATTTATCTCTGTCTACACACAATAGAGATTTGAACCCGTCTTTCTGATTCCCATTTTTTAAAATAAATTTCAATATCCAAAAAGATGTTTTTTGAAACCAAGGTTAACTCTTAAATATAAACATAAGATAAATTCACGTAAAAAAGATTTTAAGAAAAACCCTAATACTTACGAATGTAATTTCTGTACTCTACAACTCACCTTATGGGGATGCTTGACATGAACACAAAATCCCAACTCCTTTAGCACCCTCCTTTCTGCCTTGATAACTTGATTTTTGGTGTTAATGTAGTTCTGATCAAGGATCAGGGGGCTTGGAGTCCTATAGTTTGTAAGAAATAAAATCGAAACTGTTTTGCACATCCAAAAAATTTTATTTGTGGCATCTCCGTTTTTCCCTTCCAACCAACTATTGGCAACAGAAACCAGCTTTTTAAACTCCTGCAAACAAGTTAAAGCATTAATCTTGTGCTGTCCAAGTTATGCTAATTGAATATGTGCTTTCTATACTAAGTTCCTATAGAAACTGAACCCTGAAATGAAAAAAATTCACTATAATTCTCTTGGATTTACTGTTGTTTTTTTTTTCATATGGATTATATTTTGGGTATATATGTTAACTCACATTGATTTATTATACAAAGCCCATTAGGCTCCACAGACTCTTTCCAATGAAAAACTAATGTGCTCTTGAAAATATTTACTATAAAGGCCTTGTAAGATTACAGTGATTTTATTACTCTTTTCATAAAGTATCAACTCTTGGCAAATTTATGGCCAAAATTAAAATTAGGTAAAAATATGGTGGGTAGCTTATCTAGATTCCCCTAAAATGGGCTACTTATTTAAACAAACTGTTCTAAGAATCTCTGTTAAAGAAAATAATCTGAAAACTAAAGATTTAGAGCAACTGCCCCCCCCCAAAGAAAGAAAAAAACAACAAAAGATTCAAAACTCCAAAGTGATCAATAGCAACCATGCCTAAATTTGGTCTGAGTTGTAGTTACTAGGCAGTATCTTTAGCATGCGATGCAGAAGGGAAGACCATAATGAGGGAACCAGAACAACACTGTCTGCCAGACTAAATTTTGATAGCTTCCCAAGTTATAATACAGAAAGCTATATCAATCAGTGGGGTTCAATGCTTTAGAAATAGCACAATTAAAAGACTCTCATTTAAGTCTTGAAATTCAAATCTGGTTTCTTACTGAAGTTTGTTTCTTGTCAGGACTTGGACTTTCATTTAAAAGCCTATGAAATGTCCCGATGTCCTTCGTTTGATACATTTTTAGATCCAACCAACAAAAAATACACTTTTATTGAGATACTGATTATACGGTTATGTATATGGGTAGAACATTTAAATATTTTCCCCATATGCAATTCACTTTCTGCCAAAAGATTCAAGAGTTTCTGCCCTGGGCACAACACATCATCTATTTTTAAAAGACAGTCACATTCTGAATATTACCCCAACTCACAGCTCATTTTACATGCACACCAAATCCAAAAAAATGTAAGCTCATACTTCAAAAATCAAAAACCTATTTAAATACATTCACTTGAAGATTAGAAAACAATATGAAATAAGCTACATTAAGGACCCCTGTAGTAACATGTTAGGAGAGTAAAAATCACCTATCGTTTATTTTCCTTACTTTCTCACACTTAGTTACAAAAACTGGAATGCTTACTAGACTATTTCAAATTATTCAACGTTTTTTAAATCAAATTACATTAAACAAAAGTTCGCAAAGCTGACAAAATGGAGAATAGCTGTTATTTAAATTAACAATGCTGAAAACAATGCTGAAAATGGCCTTCAATCAATTCAGTTCCTATTACAGATATGAAAGGTGTTAAGGAATAAGGCCACCAATTGGGGAAAGGACTTATTTATAACATAATATCACAATTAATCCATTTTATCAGGACAATAGGTTACATGTTAATTGCTCTTTAGGGGAAAATAATCAATTTAATTCAAATGAGAGCAACAAACGTATATATGAAAACATATTTCAAAGGTCTTAAGGCTTATGATTTTTTAGATTTCATCACAACAGGAAATTTGGAAAGAAGTTAAATTCACCTCAGACTCTTTCTGATGACTCGTTATCTAACGGCCCTCCTTCAACCGGCATTAGGAGATAGGAATACCTTTGTGGTGTTACAGCTACACACCATTTTAACTCTTAACCCACTGCAATTCAGAGAATAAAACTGCACCATTAGAATCTGTATAAAATTTTATAAAAGCAGTTTTGTCTCATTTTCCCCCACTTATATTGAGCAAACTCATCTGAAACTCTTTAAAGTTTGCTTTAAGTGTTACATTCAAATTCTATTAAAATTCATTTTTCTGGCAATCAAACCAGCTACATTTCTTTGAATTATGGCTCTCTGGTGCCAAATCAGGCTTACTCCTTCATTAATTCTACTTATATGAATTGTTATTTTCCATCTATTCTGCCACAATCTTTACTTTCCCCTTTTTGGTGTCATAACATCGAATCACTTAAGGAAACGAAACCCCCATCGCTTACTATAATTCAACTATGCACTCAACTTCTTGCTTAGGCCTACTACTGCCTGTAGTTTTCAAAGTTAATTTCGTGAGTGTATAATCTAACACCTTCATTTCATTCAGAATTGGTTATTATCTCACAAACCAAGGAAGGCACAATAAACATGTAAGTTATAAACTATCTTATAAAGATTTTGTAGCAGTAGAAAAATGTGTCCCCATAATCAGCAAGAAAAGGTTCAATAAAACTGTCTAAGCAAAGGGTTTCTTTACTGATATCAACAAAGTACCAATTAACACTTTCTGTAGCAACAAGCACATTCAATTGAATTAAGGCTTGATAGAATTTCTTCCTCCCCAATCAGGTAAACTTTATTTTCCAATAAAAGTTTGAAGAGATGGCATTTCTAAATCTCTTAAAAAGAAACTATCTAGTCAGAGGAAAAAAAAAAAGTTCATCACCAACCAACCAAACATAACTCTACCTCCCTTGCTTTTGTCAGATTTTTAAAAGGAATTTATATGAAATTAACAATTTTCAAATTTTAATAGAAAATCTTGGGCTTTGGTCATTGGAAGTTTATTATCTGGTCTCTTAGATGAGCTATTTTTCCTTTAGCATGATTTAGCTGAAATACACCTTCAAGAAAAAGAAATTAGGATTAGGAGGTCCAAACACGGCTAAGTTTCGCTAGTGTAGTACAAGGACCGAGAACATTTGGAACTAGTTCAAGGAACTATACTAAAATGAGTAGTTTGCAAGGAGGCAGATTGCTGCTCAATATACAGAAGTTTGTAATGCCTACTTCAAAGGACCACTCTTTCTTTAGCGGTGTTTAAACAAACTGAAGGCCACCTTTAGGGCCACCAAAATAAAACTGCAGGAGGAAGCTGGACAAGATCACTTAAGACCTTTCCAATTCTCATCATGATCTACATACATAATGAAAATACCACACCACATACACCAATGAGAGTGGTACTAGTAGTCTTTGAAGATTTGTCTTTAGACAAGCCTTATAGTATGAATGTGGGCTCCTTAAGACTACAGAAAACCCTTAATTTGCTGGAAAAATGCTGCATATAAAAGCAAATTTTAATTTTGGAAACTATAAAAATGAAAGAACAATCTTCTTTTTAAATTCAGCCATTTATTCTGAGCTTAAAAGACAATATCAAACTACAAAAAAAATCAGAGGGGAAAAAAAGTCAAATAATGCATCTTGAGCACTGGTGCTTTCTAAAAGCTTGTCTGATGATTCTAATGTGTAGCCAGGACTGAAAAACAATGACCCAAAGGCTACAAAAATACCTTTGTAGTTTTCATTGTCACAGTACAATTTTAAACTATGCATAAATTACATTAAAATATCTGATAATACTTTACATAACTGATTAATACTTTACCTAACTAAAGTGTAATACTGAAATACTTTCTAATGACATTAATCTATGCAAAAAAATATTAAGCTATAGTTTTAATAACTTGGACAGCAAAGACAAAAGCTTGTAACAAGAAACAGGAGTTTTTCTAAATGGTTCACCAGTGGCCAACCTGTTAGTCCCCGATTCCAGTGACCTATTCTCAGAGCACTGGCTTCTCCTTGGGGATTTTCGATACTTCACTCACTGTTGCCATGACGACAGCTTCATCTCTATGTACCACTCCACATCACCCAGGCTTTGGTAAATGTAGCTGGTCGCTGTATAGTCGGTTGCAAGGGAAAAAAGAGTTGAAGTTAATAACATATACAAGTTACGTGTCTGAGTAAACTTGTAATATGCATAGAAACACTTTTACATCCTGCTTTTAAAAAAGAGGCTTCCATGCAATTAACAACTCCTTTTAAATTTCATGCTATAATCAGACTTCTAAGATTGAGACAAAATCAATCTCTGTAATAATGACCACACACACACACACACACACACACACACACAAAAATAACACGCACTGTTACATCAGACACAACAGTCAGGGGAGATGTTTTAAATCCCAAGGTTTTTATAGTTAAGACCTACTCTGACATCAAGAAAGAATGTCACAGAAAACTTTCAAAGTAGACAATCGTTAAGCGATAACAACAGTTGGCTCAATGGTTCAAAGAACCGTAACAGAAAGCTATTTCCTAAAGCACACACAGTATCTTTTGACTAAAGATAAAGAGCCTTTTTATTACTGTCATTTTGTTTTAAATACCCTGAAGAATCAGCTAAATATCTAAATACACATTTTAGCTTAGACCATACTAAATACCAAATTGAAATCTTCCCAATTTCCAGGAATTCCTCACCAAGAAGCTAAAAGACATTTTAAAATGAAATAAATTAGTCTATCCCTGGATATGGTTAGGGTGAGTGAGAAAAGATGGCAGAAAAAACAAAGTATGTAAGAAAACTATCTGGGCAGCAATGTTTCAGACTTTTTAACTACACTGATCGTTTTAAGGTTACTTTACTATTTGCTTGTCTCTGAATAGTTCTATTACTGCCACTGTACAGATTCAGCCAACAAGGACCACTCATGAAGAATACTAATTTGGCGCTAACCAACACCCAACCTCCCAAAACAACTTAAAATCCTTTTATAACTTCCTTTCAAACTCAGTCCAAGTTTGTCTAACATCATCACTATTTCCTAAGAAGTGAAAACAAGAACTAGTCTACACCAAATATCCTTCTGCAGCATGTACCAGAAGTCAACTGTAGACAAAAAGCTCTGCCAACTAAAATTTTTGGTACTGCCTCAACATGAACACGTAAGTCTACATGAAGTGTTACGATGTAGCCACATCACCTATAAGACACAATTTTGGTCTCTATTTTCTTACAAGATAGAATGGGCCTTATCTAAATACAACCCAATCAATTAAGAGTTATTTTTCTAATCCACTCACTGAGACTGTATCTGACCAAAACAAAATACCTGTTCAATCCCTTTGACTTCAAACTTCAAACTTTATCATCCTGCAGTCCTTTCAGATCCGGTATTATGCGATATATCGTAGTTGAATGTTGAGAGGTATTCTAACAAAAGCCAACCTCAATCGATAAAGAATTAACTGGGACTTCGAGTAGAAAAACAATCTACACAAAAGTTTGCCACAATATGAACTTGAACTGCAGTGTTTAAACTTTGAGCCTTCAGTCTTCCAGCAAGGGGAGGGGAAAAACAACTTACAGAATACACTCACACTTGAGCCAAACGTATTCCCTTTCTTGTTTAATCTTAAGCCACAGGACTGCTTCACAGCACTGTTAGGATTGTCCACAAATGTAACTGCCTCTACAAACTTTAGATAGCTGGTTAATTGTGGTTTTTTTCATATTAAGTATCAGTGTGCTCCTATGTGAATTTCAACACCTAAATAAGTTTTCCTTTGCATGGGTTTTAACTTGAGAGGAAAGAATGTTTTGATGATTGGTGCACAGTACAGTAGTTAGCAAGAGATGCTGTGTTCAACAATGCCAATCTTACCTTTTTCCTCTTAACTGGCGTAGGTGATGAAATACATTAATCACATCTCTTATTCTTCTAGGTGCTTCTTCAATTTTTGATGCAAGATTAATACAAGCCATGGCAACAATCTGAAAAAAACGATTCAGTAAAAACAGTTGTTAGATTATGGCACTCTCAAGTACAGTTTGGAAAAAGTGCCCCTTTCAAAATCTAATGAACTAATTGTGATGAAGAAACTTTCGGACACAATTGGGACAACCGTTGGCAAAATAAAATTACAATTGACATTTCCAGGCTATAAGCTATGCTGACACTATGATTTGTTTTTATTGCTTAATTCTTAATTTTGAATTCAGAGTCAAGCTCAGTCTCACAGGAGTTTTTTTGCATTTGATTGAAAATTCTAATTATTGATTAAAGAGAGCACCTGGGCCCAGGACCCATTTTCTAGTTTCTAACACACATTTCGAAGTCCCTACTTCCGGATGGGTAAGAACTAGCTAGGTACAAAGGCCTAAACTAACCACTCCCTTTCTGGAAAAGCTGGCAGCGGACTCTAACCCCCTACATTCCATTTCCGGATGAAGAAATCCTTTTCCATACGCCCCCGTTGTGCTTACCTCGAAACTGTGTTTGACGAAAGACTTGGAGTAGAAAAAACGATGAAACAACACCTGCCCCGTTGCCATCGCCACCTGCAGACGAGAGAGAAGAACGGAAGCGCAGGGTCAGGCGGGCCCGCACCAGGTGCCGCCGCCATTTTGTGCCGCCGCCGCTCGCTCCCGCTCCCCCTCCCCCCCGCTAACAGCAAGAAGCTTCGCCTCCCCGCCCACCGCACGCCCGGACTCGGGCTAGGAACCGCGGCTGGAAAGCCCGCACGGGCCATCCCCACCCTGCCAGAACACGGTGGTGTCGGGACACCGTGGAGGGAACGGCGGGGAGGAAAGCTGCGCCCGGTCGGCCCGGGGCCGAAGTACTGACCTGCGGTAGCCGGAGGAGAATGCCGGCGGCCTGGATGAGCTCGCAGCCCAGGATGCGCAAGTCCGTCTCGCTGGGCAGGTCAAGCCCGTCCTGCATGGACGGGGTGGGCGAGAGCCGTTCCTCCGGAATCAGCGAGTGGTCGATGGTGAGCGAAACTTCCGAATAGAGGCGGTCTCCGATCAGAATCCCTCCCGTCGTGGTCGTCGTCGTGGTCGTCGTCCCGGAGCTGGAACCGCCCGCGCTCGGGGCGGTCGATGAAGCGGCGGCGGTAGCGGTCGCTGTCGGGTGAGGCCCGGACGCCATCGTCTCAGCGAGCTGCACGCACGCCCAACGCAGCCGGAACCCGGAGCGAAACTAACCAGAGTCCTCGGCGCGACGGATATTCCCGTGACCGCCGGGTTCTGGGCCGCTTCACGCAGCGTGCGCTTCCGCTCTGACGTCACCGCGTCCGGCCGGCGCGCGCCAGCTAGTCCCTGCCGGCCTCGCCTCCGCCTGCCCGCGGCGCCTGTGCCCGCGCCTACCCGGCGCTGCGGGGGGTGCTGTCGGAAACCCTCGGGCGACCTGTCTGCTGGGGCCGCTCAGTGGCCAGAGGAGGCCGTCTTTGTAGCTAAAACGGGTCCAGGCTGCTTCGTTCGTGATACTTTTAGCCACAAGAATAAGGGAGATTTACAAAACACTTGATTCCCAAGTTCGAGTTGGCAGAATGTGCTATAACCCCTGCGCGATTTTAGCGAGTTCGTCTAGAACGTGCGTCCCTTTGCTGCTTCTATCTCTTGTCCTCTCCTGACTTCTCGCCTTTGCGCGGCGCCGGTTCTGCGTGTACAAAGGGGAGTGTGGGGCGACCCCTTGGGCGGGTGCAGATGGGAACCGACTGGCTGGCGGTTTAAAGTGACCTGCAAGGAACCTGGAGAGGAGCGCTTTGCAGTATTCTTAGACAACAGGAATGTGAGCCACGTCCAATGAAAGCTCGCGGATGGGCGTGTGATAACCAAAGGAGGGCGAAGACTTCTTCACGCCTGGGAGGGAGGCTGCTCTCACAGCCTCGCTAGCGAACCTCAGGCCCCGCCAGTGGCGGCGCCACAGCTTTCCGTCATCTGGAAAGTCCCTGGTTTCTGAAAATAGTTTCAGGATAAGAACCTTATCCTAACTCTGATTATGCCCCGAGAGTTTATGGATTCCTCCGTGGTTGCCGCAATTAGAACGGGAGAAGTCGCATTTCTGGGTTTTGGTTTTTTCCCCCTAATATTAGATAGTAATTCCCAAAGTTTTCTCAAATTAGAAGTAAAAACAGTGATGCTGAGCTAAACTACTAGCGTCTAGAGTTGGAGGAAAAAGTATTGATCTTGGTTTACTCCAACCATGCTTGTAGCCCACGCTTGAACTGAGACGTTGTCTAAGAAAGGGAAGCCCCATTACGTTTTTATTACAGAGCTCTGTTTTAAGGCTTACGGAAAGTGCATTGAAACCTGGGTCTGTAGAGCAAAGGGATTTTGAATACATTTCAATATTTGTCAGTGATGTCATTAAGACAAAACATATTCAAACACCTCATTTAAAAAAAAAGCATTAAATCAACCTTACTTAATGTAAAGAATGACATCAGTAGCTCTGAACCCTGGCTGCACACATTAGGATCTTCTGAGGAGCTTTTAAAACATAGACTGATGTCTGAGCCTTACCTAAAGAGGTTGATGGAATTGATTTGGGGTGGGCCACCCGGTGGCTTTGCCCACCCTCCAGTGATTCCAATGTTCAGTCAGGGTTGAGACGCATTACTCCAGGAAGAGTGTAATTCCGGTGCTGGTTAAAGCACTTGGCCCCTCTGCATGTCGCCTCCCTCACCTTTCTAGCTAGGCTGCTTCCAGGGAAACTTCCTTCTCCAATATTCAGGAGAGATGTAAAATACTATTCCAAACTTTGATATATTTAAAAACTAATTGATGATAGGCTATTTTCCTGGTTCTGATCATCTATGGTTGTGTAAGATAGTATCCTTGGAAGCTGGGTGAATGGTACACAGAAACACTGCTATTTTGGCAACTGCTTGTGAGTCTTCAATTATTTTAAAATAAAAAGTTAAAAAAAAAACAATCGTTAATCTGCTTCGTTGAAACTTTGAGCTTCAATGAAATCACCACTTAAATTTGTAATGACTTGAGTAATTTAACTTATTTTAAGACTTTTTAATGGGAGGTTTTCTCCTCTTTAGAGGGCTTTTTCACCATGCCTCTCCAATAAACTGACTTGGTGATGTCTTGATATATTTTATAATATATTTTTACCCTCCAGATCCACAATTAATCCAAAAAAGTTCACAAGCTTAAGAGGGAGAGGTTCTGGGAAGGGGAGGGGTTAGTTGCTCGACTCCTGATGTCTTTTTCCCAGTGGACCTCCCTGTTCCCTACCTCCTATGTCTGGTAATCATTTCCACAAGAGCAGAACCACCCAAATTATCCCACAACTTTGTGCCCATTTCCCACTCCCTTCTGACTGTACCCCCAAATTATATCCAATAGGTAGGACTATTTCATTGTTCCCCCTTTCAGCTTCAACCAAAGTGGTGGGGGAGGTGAGCCAATATTGTATTTGCTTAACATGAACTCATCAAACTGGGATGTTATTTTTAATTTTAATGAAAACAAACAAAAAAAACACCTATGACTTATCCAGAGGATAGAAAGCAGTGGGTCTAGTCTAGTGGCTATGTTCTACAAGGCCGTCTCAGTAGAGGGGTTAAAAAACAAAATTTATGACTGTTTTATCCTTTTCAGGGTCAAATTCCAGCAAACAATCATAACCTGGAAGAGTTGTATTGTTTCTAAGTTATTTTGAAGAAAGTTGTTTTTCCATGTACCTACTTCCAAACATCAACATTAAATGGGGAAAGACTAAGACATTCAGTTATAAAGGATCCAGAATTGGGAAGAGTAAAGCATACGTTTTAATTATATAAAAGCATTAGTAGAAATGAGTTCAGGCAAGTGAGACTGTTCCATTAGGAAGGTAAATGATTGAGTTGTCACTCTAAGAAAAAATGGAAATGGTAAGTCTGTAATATATTTTTTATATTCTTAACAGAGGTTCTGCTAGTAGGCCCTGAGTTCACCCAGGTCTAAAAGGAAATCAGTGATAACTAGAGAAAAGTTGTGTTTTTATTGTTTCAAGACCTTCAGGTTTCCGATAATGACTGAAGAGAAAAAGAGAATTATCAGTGGCCTTACCAGGACCACTGAAGAATCAGTCATATTCCTGATGCTTAAATCAGTTCTCATTCCATTAGTCTCTGCAGCCTCTCTGGGAGCATATTTTTCTTTATTATGTGAACTTTCAGTTTCTTTAATCCTAAACTCACAATTGGTGTAATTCCATTAATTCCTTCAACAAACAGCTATTCACCAGTAGACCACCAGAATTTAATAACAAAACACTGTCATTTCAGCTAAGGGCAAGTGAAGTGTAAGTTCCCACCTAAAAGGAGCTAATAAGATGAGAATGGTACACACAAGACAAATGCCAGGGTGACCAGTAAGTGCAAAAGGCAGGCAGAGAGGGTTAAGTCATGGTTAATGTCATCAGAGAGAATTTATAACCTTGAGAGATTGCTAAGCAGGTTTCTGTTTACAGCAGAAATCATAGAGTATCTGACTTGACACATTAACTACTCATGTAGTTACATAACTTTTTCAATTAGTCCTGTGGCAGTTGCTATGACATTCTGGTCTGGCTGCTCTCATCATTAGAAATAGTCATTCTGAAAATGATTTATATGCAATTAACACTTAGGCATATACTGCTTGGAAAATCTCATAATAGCACTGGCCTGGGCATTTTGCTACTGGTGCTGCTGAGAACTAGTTCTAAAACTTTAAAACAACCAGTTTTATCATTTCTTAAAATGAGGGAATCTGACTGGACCCTTTGTGGGTCTGAAATTCTTTGACTCTGGTCTTCCAGACATCTTGAACCTCAGACTCATCTTTGATTCTTATTTCTTCTTTATTGTATTTTAGTCCCTAAGCCTGTTGTTCCTTCCTTCATGGAAGGAATTGGCTCTCAAATCTGCCTGTTCTGTCTCTTCTACCATATCTGCTGTTATCTCATGTCTGTACCAGCACAGTAGCTTCCTAAATGGTATTCTTGCCTCCATTCTCTGCTATCTCCTTTATCTTAGGAAACCTATAAATCTTGAAATATCAGTTTCCTTACCCCACTGTCTCAAAAACTCTGGAGATAAAAGATAGAGATGAACCACCTTTTGGCAGTTGAGGCTTTCCACAATCTAAACTTACCTTGTCATTCATCTGATAATTGCGTCACCAACTCACCGTATTCCTCCACCATGCCTCTTCCTGAACCAAGACCAGCTGGACCTGTCTTCTCACTAACAAACATGCCATTTATCTTCCAGATTTCACACTTTCATTCTATTTCTCAAGCCTGCAGCATTTTACTCCTCTTTTTTGCTAATCAAATCCTACCAATTTTTCTGAGACCTACCTCTTGCCAGAAGCTTTCCCCGCATGATCTAGCTTTCACAAGTTTTCCCTTTCTTTGGACTCTCTCATAGTATTTATGAGCTTTAGTGTACGTTTCAACACGTTATTCCACACTATTATGTATTGTTACTTGATCACTTCATGGGCGTGTCTTGACTTTTTCAAAATAGTACCATTTTGTGTTTATTTTTGCATTCTTCTTAGAACCTGGTAGACACTGTGTATATGGTAGATACCTTATCAAAACTCGTGCACTGAATTGTACATTTTGCCCCCAATGCCTTGCATAGGCAATCTAGTCTTGCCTTTCCCTTTCTGTCCAGGAACCAGTTCCATCATCAGTCTGTCCTACCACCACAGCCCTTACAGGTCCTCACTTATCCTGTTCTCTCTGCAGCATTTTGTAGCAGATCAGCCATGTTTCCACTTCTGCTCCTGTTTCCTTCTTACAGTGGGCTAAGTAAAGAGTCCACGACTTCTGTTCTATAGAGTCATGGGCTGTAGAACAGGAGGCCTGTGGGAATTGCTATGACTGGGGCGTTGTAGTAGGGGAACAAGAGCTCACAAAAAGCAATACAGTGAAGTGGTTTGGTGTCTGAGTGTGAACGTAGGCTCTGGGACAGTTTTTGGAGGTGTGTCCAGAAATTGGGCCTATGTAACTAAGAGTTAAAACCAGTGTTAATTTAATAAACTAAGCTATAAAACTGACAGATCCACAGATTTGCTTTGGGAGCTAGCTTAAAGTTAATACCTATTCCAGTCTCTTGTTTTTTTATACAAGGACACTAAGGTCCAAAGAGGAGGCTGCAAATAGTAGCTACTGAATGTTTGTTGATTGCAAATAATCCAATTAAGCCAGTTCAAGGATGGTTTCATTTTTTTATGGTATTTAATGTTAGAAATTGACCAATCAATTTGAGAAGCTTTGTAATAGAGAACTATACAAAGTACAAAGTAAAAGCCCCATTCTTACCTGTCTGTATTCCCTAATCTTTCACCAAAATTATCTCATTACCTTCCCGAGGTAACAGCATGATGTCTATCATTCCAGATGTATACATAGCTCTATATACTATACACATACTGTTAATTTCATATAAAAGGTATAACAATATACATATTTAACCTGGTGTGAGATGATACTTTTATAAAATCCCATAAAGATGAATTACTACTGAAATGAAAATTTAAAATACATTGAACAGCAAGCCTGAATTGCTTATTATTAGGTTCCACAGACAAAAAGTTACTGTCAAATCGCCATAACAATTTCTAGACATTTACTCTCAATCTCTGTATACTTATCATTGAGGGCCCATAACAAACAGTTCAGAGTTTGGTACTACTTCATGGGCTAGTCTTTGAGTGGCATTATTCTTTGAATTTTTTTTTTTAAATAATGGGCATATATTACTTGTACAATTGCAATTAATTTTTTTTCCAATTCAGTCTGATAATAATAGAAATAGGTACAAGTTACAGAAATGGTCCCCAGGATGGGTCAATTTTATGGACAGGCAAGCAAACAAGGTGGCAGAATGGAGGAAATACATGATCTGGGTTTGAAAGGCTTCATAGGCATTTGTCAGAAGAATAAGTGTGGAAGAGCATTTTAGGTAGAGGAGAAGCAGGAGTCAGGGCAGGTAATGAGATTGCTGGATGTGGGGGGAAATATAGTGAACATCTGTTGTTTATAGCCTGCCCAGTAATCCAATCTCTTGTTTTGGTTTTTTTTTTTTAAGATTTTATTGGGGAATTGGGGGAGAGAACAGTGTTGGAGAATCAGGGAAGGGGAACAGACAAGTTGCTGTCCTTTTGTTCTTCAGTCTAGTTGTGGAGGATGTCGCTCCACTGGCCCATGTTGGTATCATCATTGCGCTCTTCCCGGCTGAGGCAGATCTGTTGCCTGCCATTGGAAGGCGGCTCACGGCAGCTCACACCAGCTGCTGGCCACTCATGGTAGCTTGTGGCAGCCCACTGCAGCCTATGCTGTTGCCAGCGACTCAGGGCAGCCCAGCTCCAGGTCAAGCTGCCGTTCACCACCTTAGCTGCAGAGGGTGCAGCATCACTGGGCCATGTGGGATCCAAACCAGCAGCCCTGCTGCCCAGAACTTGTGCTACCAAGCCAACTCTCAACCAACGAGCTACTTGGCCATCCCTCCCTTCTTTTTTCCCTTGGGAATCCACAACTTCTCCATTCTTGGTGTAGGTGGTTTGGGAGGGGTTGACCTCTTCCCCAGCTCAAGAACTAATCAGCATCTCCTATCCTCTTTAATTGCCTCCCAGCAATTGGTTTGGGATGGCAGTCAAGTCCAAGACTTCTGCTGGAACCCTGGCCAGGGGAAGGGACAGAGAGCTTATTCTTGCTGGGATTGCTGAGAGGAGGGTGTAAGCACAAAACTACAGACTGCCCTTTTTATACTGGAGAAGAGAACCAGTTTGGGAATGGAGCCAGCAGAGAAGAAAAGTGGAGACCAGAGACCAAAGATAGAAACCCCATCCAGTGCCCTCACTTATGGTCCTGCATGTAGCCATACCCTATATTCTATCCCTGGGATTTCCAGTTTCATGAACAAATAACTTTTAAAAAAATCTATTTACTCTTAAACCCACCTTAACTGAAAGACTTACACAAGGAATATTATGGTGTGACAGAAGTGTGTGTGTGTGTGTGTGTGTGTGTGTGTGTGTGTGTGTACATGCACGAGCGCACTAGGGGCTAATGAGGCCGCAGAGGTGGGCAGGGGCTGAAGGGCCCTCATTCCTGGAGCCTCGCAGGAGCTCTGGAAGTTGTAAAGCACTGATTACCTCAACAAGAAAATCAAGAGCTATAAATCAGAAATGCTAAAATTAAGAACATTAACTTCCTTAAGTTTTTCTAGTGGTTTCATTTTTGTTGTTCTTTGTTTCCCTCTGGTTGGAGCTAGGCAATTAAAAATAGAAAGGGCCTAGCAAGTTACTGAAAATGACATTTAAAAAAATGATTCCATTTTCCTTTTAAGGATTAAAAGTTAATTTAATTTTGAACAATGAAATAGCTGACCCTGTTTAATATTGTTTTCTATTTCCAATAAAAATTTAATACATACAAGCAGACTTTCAGTGAAGAAACTTTTAGGAATAATAAGAATCAGCTTTCCTGAAACTCCCTACACATTTAATTAGTTTTCTCAGCAGGAACAGGAAGTAACTCTGGGAATCTGAGGAACACATTAGCCGTTTTGAACATTATAAAGCAAAAATAAATGAGCCTTGCATCACATTCCCTGCATAGAGTTGTTGTGTCTGTTTAATCTAGAACAATTCCCTAGGGTTTTTGTGTTTTATGGTATTTTTCATGATTTCCAGCCAATTGTTTTGCAGCATGTCCTGCCATTTAGAGTTGTCTGATTTTGTCATTATGATTAGCTTCAGGTTAAACACTTTTCCAGGAATACTTCATGGATGATGTTGCATGCTTCTCTGTGCTTCACATCAGGGGACACACAAGGACCAATTATTGTCCAACTTTTGGTTAATTTTGATCATTTGGTTGCTATTGTCTGCCAGATCTATTCATTGTAAAGGCACCCTTTACACCTTTGTAATTAATAAGTAATCTGTGGGGATGATTCTTTGACAATAAATAGCATTCTTAACAGATTTTATGCACATTGTTTCAAAGAAGAAAAATGGTTCATAATGAAATTTTGTAGAGTTGGAAGGAATTCTTTCAACCACCACCTAGTGAGTGCTCTGCAAACTATATAATTGCTGGGATTAAGAGCAAAGTGGTGAAGGCTGACCAGCAAACAGAGTACATCAAATGCTAAAACAAAGGACAAACTACAATAGGAGAATTGGGGAGAGTGGCAAAGACCACATCAAATGAGAGAAAAGGGAAATTTAGAGATAAAAAATGACTTGACCAAGATCTCAGATTGGCAGGAGTGAGATTAGAACTCCGCTTTTTCTGATGCCCAGTACAGTATTCCTTCCACGACAGTATCCAAAGGTTGTATGGCAGTGCTGGTTCTCCACGACAGGTGTAACATTTGTTATTAGTGAAAATAATTAATGAGATCTTACTATGTAACTAAAAGAACAAGCGTTCTCTTGTTCTTTAGAGGAAATTTTATTTGATTGAAATTATGTACACTGTGACATTAAAGTCACTTGGAGACCTCGTCTGGTTTTGCCTCAGGGAAAGATTTCCTCACAGTGACAATGACACAAGCATGCACACTTCATAACCGGATATTACTCATCTGCCACACCTTAAAACTATCACAGAATAAGATCATTCTATTCACAAACCTGGAAACATTTCAGAGGTATCTAACGCCTATGCCCTGAGATTGGCTATTTATAGCTGATACATAATTCCTATATAGTGTACACAGTGTTTTCATATGTATCACTGGAGTCTCAACAACAATCTAGTTACTCCTTAAAGTGAAAGAGAGATCATCAGTGTGAGATGTCGGCTGGATTACTAATTGTCTTGTCTTTATATTTAAGAATATCTATTGTATACCTTTTTCAGAATAGAAATTTAAAAGGAATAGTCATATATTCATTCATTCATTCATTTATTCATATTCATTCATTCAGCTCCAGTGGGACCATCGCAGCTTCAAACTTAAAAGCTGGATCTGGAGGTGAGCAGTTTTAGACATGGTTTTGGTGAATCATGATTTTTTTTGAGCTCCGTTTTTGATCTGTAGACACTGAAATCCCAACCTGGTCTCTTCTGGGCGCTGAGCGAGTTCAAGGAAGTTCAGGGAAGACACAAGCTGCAAAAGGTCGATCCCGCCCCCTCAGTATTTTCAGAAACTGTTTTTAAACGTGAAGGCCAAGATTTCGTTTGACCTTGGCTCACCCTGCACCTTCTCAATACGGAACCCCATAATATTCTGCTTGCTTTGTGTAAATGACTTAACAGGTATGGCATTTACAATTTGTACGGAAGGGTTCTGGCAATAACTCAGTCGCCACAAGCCGCTGAAAGGCCATCACAGATTTAGAGGGAGGTTTCCCGGAGGGCTCCACGGTAGGGGAAGTGACCTAAGGGGACGCGTTAGTGGGGAAGTCCTTTCCCCCTTTCAACGGACAAGTGACCTGAGCGTACACCCCAGACCTGGCTGCCCACGCAGAGCCTCACGGAGCTCGACCCGGGGACAGTTACGCTCAACTCTGCCAGTAAACACGTGCAAGGCCTAGCTGGGTTGCCGTGGGCTCCAATGGACTCAAGAGGAGGAGGGCGATCGCCTCGCCATTTCCTGGAAGCCGCGAAACTGTCAGGCCGCAGGGCGTGTCGGGAAGAGCCGCTCAGAAACCGGAAGAACTGTAAGTCAAAGGGCCATCCCGCGCACGCGCACGCGCAGCGCGCTCTTCCTCTTGTGGCTGAGGTCGAGCGGCTCCCTCCGCCAGCGGCCGGATCTATTTTGCGGGCGTCTATCCGCCAGCCTACCGACCCTGCGCCGCGGTGACGTAGCTGGTCCCCTCCCTTTGCCCCCCGCGGCGCAGCCTCTTGTGACGTCAGCCGCAGACTCCTCCCGCTTAGTTCTAATCTGATGCAGCGTGTAGGGTGGGTTTATTTGGGACGTTGCCGGCTCCTGCTCGGTCTGATCCTCTTTTGTAATGGAAACGCCTTTTGTAATTTCCTAAGACTTCAAATGAAGTCTTTGAACTCTGCCCATTTCCTAATAAGGGTGAAAAGGCAGGCAACCCTCACCCTAGTTCATTTCTTTCCATGCTAGGAGTTCTGTTAAAAGTACACAGCAAAATGTGTCATTATTCAGGTTTATTTGGAAGCTTTTGCCTGTTTTTATGTAGTCTCTTAGTGCGTAAATTGGGAGAAAGCGTATCCTTAAAATGGCAACTTTGTATATGGAGGCAGGGATAAGCTGTACCTAGTCTGGCTTGATGGAATCAATGTAACTTTAATTTAAATGTTGTGTTTGTTTGAATTATCCAAGTGTTGCATCTTGAAAGGCTAGGTATAAAAAGCAGTTAAAGAGCTTCCAGGAGTGTTTGTTTTGTAAGCTATTTAAAGCCAAAATGAAAATCAAGTTGTATTAGACATAAAGTAAGAATTTAAACTTATTAAGGGCGAAGATTTTGTCTACATTTTACAGATAATGAAATAGGCCCAAAGACTTCTGCGATTTGCCCATGAGGGATGGGTGGACTTCAGGCCACTGCTTTCACCATGCCGATACCCTGGCTGGCTTCACTAAGGCTGTCTTGGGAACAGCATGGGCCGGGCATGGATTGCCTCCTTTCTTAACTTCCTCCCTCACTTGTTTTTTTTTCCTCTTTCCATTGTTTTTGTTCCCTTGTGTTCTCCTCCTGTGTCCCGCCTGCCCCCTTTGCTTTATTTTTTTTCTATTTCTTTAACTTCCTGTTTTCTTGATCGTTGAGCCCATCTTTCCTTCCTTTCCTTTAAATGTCTCTCTCTTAAATGACCATAAAAGGAAATAGAATAATCTTAAAAGTTGGTTTTCTTTTTTAAGGATTTTTTTGGGGGGGTTCTTATAGATAGATATAAAATTTCCTCCAGTAAAAGCTGCCTCCTACTTCCATAGCTGCTCAGGGAAAGTGAAAGCGGGATGGAGGGAGGGAGGAAGAGAGAGAGAGAAATGAAGAAAAGAGTAACTCGCCTAACATAAACCTCCGAGGAGGCAGTTTCTGCTGCTCTTTCCAATTCCCTCATCTCTGAGTGAAAGTGTCTAGTAATAAAGAATTAGCCATTTAATATGAATACTAGAGTTCAGTAAAACATACTAATACCAACTAACTGAGGTCTGCTCCCTTATTGCCACTTCATCTTTTCCGTGTTTGTCCGATTCTGCTTGGTCAATAGTAACCTGGGGAAATTGATTGGAAATATATTTTGTATTTTGCTAGAGCATTTGAAGATACTCCTGAATTTTGGCTTATGTTTTAATTCCTGATACTGAAAGAAAATACACTGTTCTGTGTTCCATAATTTAAAAATAATTGGAACCTTGAGGGCATTATGCTAAGTGAAATAAGCCTGACAAAGACAAATACTCTGTGAACTCATATGTGGAATCTAAAAAAGCCAAACTCATAGAAACAGACAGTAGAATAGCTATTTTCTCAGAGTACAACACAAGATCTCCTACATGGGGCCAAAGGCCACTGAAACCACCATCTGATGATTTTTCTTTCTCGGGGAAGCAGATGGAATGATCAGACTGTGCCTACTGTTTTTTAACAAGGCTTGCCAATTTCAGTGTGTCGGTTTCCAAGAGATGGGCTGTATTTCTGCAGTGAGGGAGGACATGAAATCATCTGTCACTGAAGAAATCAAGCCTTCTATTTAGAAGTCCTGTTCTCTTGCTTGCTTTTACTCTTTGTTTTTTGGGCATACCTATGTCTCTGCAAATAGACTGACGGAACAGAAGCTTATCTGTTAGTATCTCAATGAAAGTAGTCAAAATAGGCCCCAGGGCCTGGATGAGGGTGAAGTAAGTGAGGCACTTGGCTTTAGCTGCAAATTTAAGGAGGCACCAAAAAATCTCAGTAATCAAGATAAATATTTTAATGTGGTATTTAAAAAAAAATCAAAATTAATGCTAAACAACCCATAATACAATATCAAACATTTTAAATAAAGACAGTGGATTCATTCTTAGGGCTGCCGTAAAAAGTACCATAAATTGGGTGGCTAAAAGCAACAGAAATGTATTGTTTCCCAGTTCTGGAGGCTAGAGGCTCTCAGGGGGAAACCTCATGCCTTTCTCCTAGCTTCTGGTGGTGGCTGCCATCTTTGGTGTTCCTTGGCTTGTAGCTGCATCACTCCAGTCTTTGCCTCCATCTTCACATGACCCTCTTCTTTGTGTGTCTCTGTCTCTCCTCTTCTTATAAAAACACTAGTGTTTGGATTTAGGACCCACCGTAATCCAGTTTGATCTCAATTAATTGCATCTGCAAAGATCCTATTTCCAAATAAGATCACATTCTGAGGCTCCAGGTGGACATGAATTTTTTGAGAGATGCCATTTAGCACTACAGACAGGATCGGTGTTATTGATTGCCTCAGGATCCACTATGGCTCAGCATGGCATCCCCCATTTTAGTAGCTTGCATGGGCTGGCCACTGGCGGGTGAACTGCTATTACATCAGCTCTGGGGCTCGAGACTGAGAAGGCTGCTCTGTGCGTTCATCCCACTCGCCTGCTTCAGCTTCTACAGGCCTAGGTGATGACTCTGAAATCACTCTTTCCAGCCTCCCTGCTCTCCTGAGATCTAGATTCCTTTTTTCCCCCAATTGCTCTGGGACATCCTAACTTACCAGCCTGCAGGCATTCAAATGTAACTTGTGTCTTACTGGGCATTCGTGTCTTCGTGTCCTCTTTTCCTGTGCCCTTTATTGCCCCTTCCCCTCCCCAAACAAGCCCTTGAGAGGCGTTCTTGACCCTGATCTCTCCCTGTGTCCTAACATTTCCTTTGGTTCCACCTCAGGGATGCTTCTGGGTCACCATCTTCTGCCACAGCTCACAGGTCTTTGACAGCAGGTATGTAGATGTTGCTGTAGAATATTATGTTCAGGACCTGCTTGGAGAATAGGAGTGTCATTGTAACTTTGTTACAGGTTTATATATTAAGCATATTTTGGCTCGGAAAGAACAATGGTGAGAGATAATTTTGTAGTGGTCAGCAGGACTTGGACTTCATGTTTTGATGGTTGGTATTGCTAAACTTGGTCACTGTAAGCAAATTCCTAGTATTCGCTCTCATCAGTAAATGCTCCCATCACCTCCTTGCTATCACAGAAACCCCACTCTCCCCAGGACACTGCTCGCTGCAGGCCTCTCTAGTGTGGCTGTTCACAGGCCTCCCACCATCCCTGGGCCTGGAGGGGGGTGGGTGGGGGTTGTGGGAGTGGGAGGAGGTGGATGTTCTCTGTCTGGCCACTTCCAGACCGTTCCCCTCTCCCCGCCCCCAACACCATACCCCTTCTCTCAGTTTTTAGTCTTAGGTCATCCGACTATACCTTATGCTACTCCTCCATAATGCAGTCATTTGTGGACTCTTGGGTCCTTCCTCCTCATTTTTTGACCATTTTTATCTCCAAGCTCACTGCCATTCTCTGAAGCAACTCCTGATTTCAATATCCAAGTGGATGATCTTCTAATAGCCAGGCCTCATGGTCCCTCAACTTGCCCTCCTCCAATAATCATGTCCTCTCCCCTGAACAGCTGCTCAACTCGCACGGACCTGCTCTAAATGTTGTCATCCCACAGCCTAGCTGTGATCACAATTTCATTCTATACGTCCAATCTTTGTGGCTAACTCCTTCCCGCAGTTCTTTTGGCCCTACACCATTTGTCAATATCCTCCTTACTTGGCTTGAGTGTCATGACCAGTCTTTGTAATCACTCCCTGCCATAATGTGCAGCTCCCACCATAAACCCACTCCGCATACCATAGTTCCAGAGAAACACTCGTGCACACACCACTGGGCTTACTCTAAATGCCTGACCTCAACCCCAACGGGACCTTTTATTCTGTTGCCACACATTTTCCTGGAACATTCACCGTCTCCTCGATAACCCTTCTGGATAACACACATATTGTCCTCGATAACTAGTTTTCACACCTTCCCTTATTTCTTCTAACCTCCAAATACCTGTCCCATTCTCGCTCTTTCAGTTTTCTTAAGAAAACAGAAGCTAACCCAGTAGAACCTCCATGGCTGTCACCACCATGGCCACCATCCGTCCACGTCAGCCTCCCTCCCCTCCTGTTTCTGTGCTTGGACTGTCCGTGCTCCTTGCTCTGCCCAAGATCAATGACCAATTGTTAAAAAGAAACAACAGACCCAAAATGGAATCATTTTTGCTAAGTCCCACCAAGACTAATAACCTAACCTAACCACAGTTTCAGCTTTTCCCAGGAGTGGAATTTTACTTACTTATTAATTAATTAATTATCTATCTGTATTAGTTTCAGGTGAGGAATGGAATTTTAAGGCAATCAATCTGGAATTTCCTGGTCAGCTCTAGTGAAGTAATCTGCCTGTTAAGGCTCCCACCTTCCTGTAGGGAAAGGTGACCTTGCCTGAAATAATCCACCCTTTTAACTTTCTTGTCCCACCCTCTTTCTGCCTATAAAAACCTTTCATTTTCTAAAAACCCTCAACCCCTCAGAGGTCCCTTCTACTTGCTGGATGAAATGCTGCCTGACTCATAAATTGTTTAATAAAGCGAATTAGATCTTGGATTTACCTGGTTGAATTTTATTCTTTAACACCATCAGTTAACACAATTATCAATGAATTGTTTTCATCAGTACACAATCTGTGCTTTGTCTAATTAAACAAATTTCTCTCACATCTCCTTTAGCTACTGTTACTTTTTTTTTCTTTTTCTTTCCTTCACAGCAAACACCTCAACACTCCTCCAACTCCACTTTCCGTTCTTTCATGGACCCATTCAAACCGGGCCTCACCCTTGACAATGCCACCAGGCCTGGTCAAGGTCATAATGACCTCCGCCTACTGGTTAAGTCTCACACTTCACTTGTCTGGACCTACCAGCAGCTGTGACACAGTGGCCTCCTGATTGGCTTCGCTGCTTCTATCCATGTCCCACCGAAGTCTGTTTTTAACATGGAAGCCACACTGATCCTTGAAACAACCAAATCAGGTCATTTTATTCCTCTGCTCAATAAATTCAGAACAAAAGCCAAAATCCATACCATGTCCTAAAAGCTTCCCTGAACTGACCTCTCAGGGACTCTGGGAACTTCTGTTACTCTCTCCTTGGCCACTCCCTTCCAGCCACACTGGTTTCCCAGCTGTTCTTCCATCTGTCCTGGGCGTACTTCCCCTCAGGACATTGCTGCAGGGAGTTTGCTCTGCTTTCTGGAAGGCTTTCTCCACCATTATTATTTGCCTCTTTCTTCCTTCTGTGCTTCCACACCCACCATTGGAATGGCACCCCACGAAGTCAGGGGGGCTGGTCTCTTCAGTTACTGCTGTACTCTCACGACTGAGGAGTGTGCCGGACACATGGTAGGCCCTTACCCAACATTTGTTGAGTGACTGGAAGAGTGCCCATGCTTGGTCTTGACCACACATGTGCCTTCCAACATGCTATGTTGCCTTGGCCTGGGGTGCCCTTTCTACCCGCTGGAAAGTATTTATTTCTTCTGACTCACCTTTTTTGGTGAAAAGTCTTTTTTTCCCTAGGTCGTCTCTCTTCTCTGTCAACCATACTGGTGATTTTAAATATACTTCACCACATTACCTTTATCATACTTAAGAAATTTGACATTGACACAATAGTATTTTCTAATATACAGTCCCTATTCAAATTTCCCTGTAATGTTTAAAAAATTGTTTTTTCAAATCCAAGATTTAATCAAGGTTCACACATTATCTTCTTTTTAAAATTTGCTGAGTTTTTAATGGATCTCTCACTACACTATTTCATGTCCATAATTTCCAAGAGAAGAGTAAAATCCCCTCAGCAAAATCAAATAAATGTGAAAACCTATTAGATATATATATATATATATATATATATATATATATATATATATATATATATATATATATATGTGTGTGTGTGTGTGTGTGTATGTGTGTGTGTGTGTGTGTGTGTGTGTGTATATTGGGTCATCAGAAAAGTTACGACGTATTTTTCCAATGAAAAACATAGAAAACTACGTCATGACTTTTCCAACGACCAAATATATATACTTCTCTTAGAGATGCCCTCCCACGGGTGTCCATCCACACAAGTTCTGTGACTCACAGCCAACTGGACAGCTTCCTCCTGTTGCCTAGGTAGAATTCTCCAAGGTGGGATTCATGTGCCTGGATTCCAGGTCTCCTTCTGTCTTGATTTAATCCCTTGGGTTGGTAGAACACATCCTCCAGTAGCTTCTTATGGAAGGGTGCATTGAGGGGAAGTTTTCTGAGAACTTATATGTCTGAAAAGACTTGTCATCTACCCTCAATCTCTTTTGAGAGTTTGGTTAGGTATAGATTTCTAGGTGTAAGAATAATTTACCCTTAATATTTGAAGGTGTTGTTCTATTGACTTCTAGATTCCAATGTAGTTTAGACATCCAATATGCTCTGATTCCTTGTTCTATGTGTAACTGTCCCTACCCCCAAGGCTTTTAGGACTATTTCTTTATCCCTCATGTTCTGAAATTGTACAGTGATATGCCTTGGTTTTTGTTTTTTTTTTAATTTCAGTAAGCTGGATACCAGGTAGATGCGTTCAATCTGGAAACTCATTTCTTTCAGTTTTGGGGAATGTTCTTTTATTATTTATTCAAAAATCTCCTCCCTTTGATTTATTCTCATTTCTCTTTCTGGAATTTCTATTGTTTTAATGCTGGATTTATCTCCTAATGTTGCTATCATTTCTTTCTTATTTTTTTCCTTTTTGTTTTATTTTATGAGAAATTAAAACATTTCTAACATTTCTATTCAAATAATTTTCATTATCGTTATTATACTTTTGGTTTCCAAAAGCGCTTTCTTTTTTCTGATTGCTTCTTTTTCAGATAACTGTTTAATAACACCTTATTCTAGTATCATGAGTCCAATAGCTTTTCTTCTTTTTCAGAGGATACTAGTTTTTTAAAAATTTTCTTCTCTTGTTTGCATTGTCTGTTTCTTCTAAGATTTTTTTTTTCCTTTTTGCTTTGATCTATGCCTCTTATGTTGAAAGCTTTCCTAAAATATCTGCAGACCCTTGGCTGTCGGTATTTAAGAGTGAATATGGAAAGAACTGATTTTGTTGGGAAGGGGCAAGGCCGATGAGTGGTGAGCTTCACTGGAGGTTTACCAGACTAGGAGGGAGCCCAGGGATAGTCATTGAGGATCCATCACTTTCTAGCTTTGGAGGGAGCAAATCTATCAGGTCTGACAGGTTTCTGGGAAACGAGTGGTCAAAGGGGCTGGGAGGTCTTGCAGACTAGTATGTAGGTTTCCACCAATTTTATTCTATTTTCTGTTCACCCCTGATCCCCGCCTTTCCAGGAGAAGGGAGGAGGGGAAAGAGGGGTTAGTTAGGGAGCTGGGAACTGCGGGGTGGGGATTAGGGGTGGGGCACTTTTGATCCCTGAGCCCCAGGGTTCTGGTGTGGATAAGCATGCTTCTCACTTGTCCCTCTCTCTTGGTGCTTGGGTTTCAGCTTTTTCCTACATTAGTCACACTCAGCCATTGGTTGCCAGCTTCCTAAAAATGTGATTTGGTCTGCTGGTTTTTTTTCTCTTTTATTTTTTATTTTTTTGTGAATTTATAACTTTTATTTTTCTTTTATGTCTTTTGAGAGGAGTTTGGGAGAAGAGATAAAAAGCATGTGTTCAATTCTCCATCTAGTTAGGTAATTAATAATTCTTATTAAATGATCACTGCATGGTTTTCCCTTAGAAGAGAACTTCTTCAATCACATATTTAAAAAAATTCCCAGCTTTAAAAAATATGTTGTGCTTTATTTTGTCATGGGACTAAATGTTCCACTGGTTAAAGAAACTCCGTGTGTATTAGGGCCATCTAGTGGAGAACTTGGATTTAGCACCAAAGGCTTTAAATCTGACCGGGCGCCTTCTGAAAAATACGAGAAGAGCTAGAAAACATCCATCACTTAGTCCTCGCTGTCTCTATGCAAAACCTCCCCAGATAAAAGTGTCTCCTCCATCATATGGAAACAACACACAGACATTTATTTTGTAGTTTATTTTTAGTACCTATTTTAGTTCATCTTTATGGCTATCTTAAAAGTCTTGTTGACATTTAAAATGTTTCTCTACTAATATTCTTGTGGGGGATGAAAAAAAATACTGTCCTAACTGTTCTCCTTCTTTTATAACAGGCTTTTTATCCGACGAGGATTAGATTCTATTTCTTTGTCCTCTGGGATGTTTCACAAGTCCACGGCTGGCCTTTCCGAAGAATTAATTGAAAAGGAAATGGCAGATACGATTAGGCTGCTGCACTCGGTAAAATGACAGAGGCCAGGCTCGGTGGCACCCTCGGCCAGCAGAGACAGCTGCCAATGAATTATGCTGCTCTGTGGTTATTAAGACTTCATGTTACACCAGTGAATTGAAAAGACGTAAGTTATCCAGCCTCTCAATATTACCCTCAGTAATTTACTTAAAAAAAAAAACCTGATCTGAAGAAGATTTCAGGCAGAAATTTAAAATTACTTCTTTATTTTCATTACCCCAAAAGGATTTTGTCTGTGGCTGCTGAACCTGCTGTAGATATTCCCAAGCCTCAATTCAGCCAACTCCTGAGAGTTCCCACAGTGTCAAAATATATGAATCGCCAGTGCTTGAACCAAGTGCAAACCAATTAAGGTTTTAACTAGATCAAGCGTGAGCTGAAATCTGCTACATAATTTAAATGCCACCTAGTGGCCAAGTGTCATTTTTAGTTCTCAATCAAAACAGCTTTGGTGCCTTCTACAATAGTATTTTTCTTAGGTTGATTTACTGAACAGCTTTGAGTCAGGGGTATTATAGCTGCTTCCGCTCTTGGAGTGAAATGGAATTGGAATATTTCCTCATCATAAAAAAAAAAATCTTTAACAGCTTAAAATGTGCGTAAGTCACGGCTCTTATTCTAGGCACATCTGCTTATATGGCTGCAAAACAAAGCATTGTTGTTTGGCTTGGTTACTATGTCATTAAATAATACCAGTAGTTATCATGTATTACTTTATAGTTGAAAAATAAAAAGAAGTATATGTGTAATGTAACTAGTATAGGAACAATTCTAAATATTGATGGCCAGAGTACTTAAAAGATGTATTTTCCATCTCAGAATATTGAAGAGTTGTGAGGGAGACATATCATTTGTCTATAAATGAATGCCATGGACAAGCAAATTAGTGTGATAATAATAGTGGTGATAGCAGCAGCAGCAGCTAACATCTATTGAGTGCTTACATGCCAGACGCTGTACTTGTATTAACTCATTTGATCCTCACAACAACCTAATGAAGTAGGGCCTATTGCTGTACCCATTATATAGACAAAATCAAGGCACACTCAGAGTGGTTAAATTGCATATCCACTAATGAGAGAGGCTGAGTAGGGATCGGAACATTTAGAGTGAACTTTTGGTTTCTTAGCTGGTTGGGATTTTGTTTAGTACCACTTTGGTGGAAGGATCCTTGGAGAATCATGCAAAAGTCCCTTTAATAGAACCAGGGCTCAGCCTGCACTTGATCATCCTGGGCTGAGGCTCTTGGTAGGGTTTGCAGATATTGGTGTAAGGATGAGGCTGAGCAAACAGGGCTCGCTCTGGGTGCCTTGCTCTGGGTGCCTCGCCAGTTCAGCTTTGGTTAGACCCATCTGCTTTTTTGGCTTGCGGGGGAGGGGCGGCCCTTGGAGAACTAAGAGTAGATTTAACTTTTGTATAATTGTGGTCTGGGGTTATATATAACCGCCTTCTCCAGCTCTTTATTCCAGAGAATAGAGAGTGGATTGATTTGAGTAGAGCCAAACTAGCTGTGGTTATGCAATCAATAAGACATCATTAAGCATTTTTCTTCCTGTTGGTCACAAATCTGCTTCTATTCTTTTACTGCAGGCATGTGACCATTTAAAGCTGTAAAGATAACAAATGAGTTTAACACTACACAGTGCTTTGTTGACTTCAGTGAGCCTCACACAGTGTTTTTGAGGTCGATAACAATGGGTTTCTTATCCTCAGCATACAGATAAGGAAACTAGGACTCAGAGAGATTAAGTGGCTTGCCAAAATTCACATGAGTACTGGCCATAGAATTAAGACTAGGACACGTAGGTATTTCATTGTATTTATTCACACACACACACACATACACAGAGATTTTTCCAGGCATCTAGTATGAATCTGTGTACATGCATAAATGACAATGCCAATGAAAAGTTAAGTAATGTAGCCTGATATAAAAGAGAAAATTATGCTAATTGCAATTTTATCATCTCTTTTTTACTTTCTCAGTTATTATTCAGAGAGATCTTTAAAAGAAAGTCAGATAATCAAATCAAATCTTTAGGGTAGTATAGGAGTTTTACAGCTGCAAAGGAAAAATGGAAGTACTCTTTCAAGGCTTACTGTAGTACTCCAATTCTATATTTTAATTAAAAAGTGCATAATTCTAATTCTTTAAAAATTGTTTATTTTTAAAATGAATACCTCTATAGTAGTTTTACAAGCTTATTATGACTGATACAATTTATCCAGAAGGAGGCAGCATTTTACTATTAAATTGATGCTTCTGCAAAGATTCTAACAAGTATGTTTTTTTCTTTAAAGATGTAGACTACCTAATCACACACATCCAAAAACCTTTCAGGGCAAAGATTCTTGGCTATCACTAGAACTTTGCATATTGAAACAGTTATAAAAGCCAAATTCTGCTCAGATTAACTGCATTTAAAATTATAAATAGCATATATAGTGGCCAAATTCATTGGCAGGAATTGGTTTTGCAGTAAAAACATTGATTAAAATACAGAGTTGAACAGAAAATGGAGTAGGAGAAAGAGAAAATGAATGATTCAGTTATCGCTAACTTGTAGGAAATAAGTAATTGGTCAATAAGAGATCAACTTTAGAAGGGGAAAAAACATTAATTCACTAAAAAATAAGGGCAATGAATTAGTTTTAATCATCTCCCTAATTTCACAAATGTAACTTGCTTCTCCTTTCCTTGTATTTATAAAATCACAGGATCTTTAGAAGGGACCTTGGAACTTTATGTGACACATTTCAGGGATGGCAGGAGAGAACTCATTTCATCCCATCTAGGGAAGTGAGAGTTGATCTGCTTTCCAAAAGCCACCTCATTAACCTAACAAAAGATACCGTTATTACTCTCATCACTTCCAAGGGTGTTAGGAGCTTAGCTCCAGGAATGGGAGACACACCAAATATATATTTCCTATTATAAATCACAACATCACAGCAGGGAATAAAAAATAATTAGGTTATTTCATATTCCCCATTAAGTGGAGATAAATTGACTACATAAGTATGTAATGGGAATGCTATTTAAAAGCTGACATAATAACTTTATTTTTACCAGTTCTTGTTCTTCCTCCATTCTTCACCATTAGGGCTTAGGTCCCAGGGAAGGAAAGGACATTATCAAAGAAGTTCTAAAGGAAATCGTGACAATCAGTGTTTTCCACCCAATTGGAAGAGAAAGTAGATAACGCGTTAAGTTTCTAGTTAGCTGTGTGTGTTGGGAGGGTGGGGGTGGGTGGGAAGGAGAGACAGACATACACACGCACGCACATACTCACACACTCTACACCCAAGACAGGGAGAGAAAGGAGAGTGTGGGACGAGGAAAAGGGAGGCGGTCAAATACGGGGACGCTCATTTTCTCCTCGTTCCTTCAGGGCCAAAGAAGAGAGGGAGTTAAAAACACACACATGTTTTTTAGGGGGTGGGTATTTCCCAGAACAAGGAAGTTTGTTTCTAGGGAAATTTCAAGACCTCTAAGAGAATCACGATAGCCAATATGAAACCAACCGGGCATTAAAGTAGGAAAGGTTGCAGGTAGCTTGTAGGCATGGAGAGGATCAGGAATAACTTCCCAAGATTCCCTGGGCTTCCGTGTGATGTGGAAGGATCCAGAAGGTCTTCCCTACCAGAATGTAAGAATTGAAACCAGAGGCCTGCTAAGGCTGTGGTAGTAACAGGTGGGATGACCCCAGGGAAGGCCTCTCTCAGAGGCTGCTGGAAGCTGAGGTCGAGATAGACTTGGAGGATTTGCAGGGCCAGCCTGGGCTAAGGTGGCACTAGTTAACAGAGGAAAAGATCCCTGAGATCCCTAGCTTACAAAAGAGCTCACCACCAATGTCACCAGGAGGTATGACCAGGTAGTAAAGAGGACATCACTGAGGAGACCAGCCCTGAGGTCAACTTTCTCCTTCAGCTACCCCCAGAGATATGTAATCTCTGCCCTAGCCTCAGGTCTCCATCTTGGGAGGGAGCAGGGAGGAACAAGAGAGGACAGACAAGTCTTACAGGGAGTTTGAGCTTTGAACTGACTGCATATTTATCTGGAAGGGACTGTTTAAGCCAAAGTAACGGATTGACTCTTAACTTGCAAGTTTGTAACTCCCTACTCCATCCCACCACCTCACAAAGTGTGAATGGGGGTGCGTTAGCCTGTTAGGACTGCCATAACAAAATGCTGTAGACTGGGTGGCTTCAACATCAGAAATGTGTTTTCACACAATCCTGGAGACTGGAAGGTGAGGTGCAAGCAGATA